CCGGTGTGCCTTGGAAAATTTCCAGTGGTGCGGAGAGCCTTGATTTGCAGGCGATGCAATTTTAAGAGGTAGTTAGTTAGTTATTTAGAGAGGGTGGGTTTCCCCATGCACTGCGACCAGTTTGATCTATTGTGCTTCCCCCTATGATATTCTACCAGTCTCTTTGCCCTACCGATAAATGGTGCGTACCATCAGTCCCGCCGAGCAAGCGAGTTCGGCCACTTGCTTAGCGGTGTCTATAATGCTTCCCCCATCTATCAGAGGCCTTAGAGACTACTGTTGGGCGGGAAACGTCCTGGAATTTGGCTCAGTGATCCCCTTTGGGGATATGAGGTTCTTTACGTGCCGTAAAGTTACGACACGGGACACACAGCTTAAAGTCCCTCCCGGAAGCCTTGTTCCCTGAATTTTTCCGTCCTTAAAAATTCGACCATCTCCGCCGGGTATTTGAACCCGCGTACCACGAGTCATGAGGTGGGAACGTTACCTCTAGACTACGGAGGCCGCTATTTTAAGAGGTATGTGTCTGCAGTTAATTCCTAAGCGGGGCAAGCATAAATAATTACTGATCTGATCAGTGCCTTATGGAGGGTTAGTATAATGTTGGCGCTTAAACGCTCAATCCTGAACAGCGAGTACATTCTAATGAATGTTCTGAAGGCCCTGGTTTCAATCATTTCTATGTACAGTCGCCATGTAATCCTCTTATAGAAGATTACACTAAGATATTTTACATAATTGACGAAGGGGATATTCCGTCCATTCAGTGTAAGATGGAACCTCAGGGGGGCCTAAGTCCATGAGAAAAGTAGACGGCCTGAGTCTTATCTTCATTGATTTTTATGTTCCAGGGCTCAAACCACGTATCAATAGCATTGAGACTTCGCTGCAGCTTTATGAGAACGCAACCCCGTTTGCGCCAACCAGGCTCTCGCTATACACACTCGGCACGGACTGGACAGAAAACACTGTTCGCAACAGTTCTGTTGTCGCGGGCCGTTGCCTAACTATGATTCACTTGTTTACCGAGCCGTTACCACGCAACGGATAATGTTTAAGTAGTCATATCACAGTATCATGGCAAAGAAAATAGGCATATCGGAGATCTAATTGAACTCACAGAACTTTCTTCCGTAAGGTTTCCCTGCTCAAGGTATGAGTACGACGTAGCCTCAGAGATGTTTAAACAGCAAATTGCAGTATGTTTAAATAGAGCTCAAAGAAAATAAATAAGAACAGGTTATAAGAATCATAAATGTAGGGAGTATATTTATAAACCACCTAGTGGAAAGCGTGGTCGACTTTTACGCGGGGCAACCTACTCCCTGCTTTCTGCATTGTTTCTGCTAGTGGCCACCGGTTTTGTTATATACCGTATTTACGCATGTATAGACAGCGTGCGTGTATAGGCCGCAGCACAATTTTCAGAGAGAAATTATAGAAAAAATTATTTTCTTGGAATATTATTTCAGGAGTAGAAATTATTCCGAAATTTGGCAACATTAATTTTTTTTAAATGAAGTGTGANTCACTATTGCATTGAGGGATGCACTGACCATTTTTCAGATATAGAAGTGTTACTCATTGGTATATGCACTTGATTCACTTGCAGTAATGATCGTTCTGACATTATTTAACGTAGTCTTTCTTGAGAAACGAACAGTCGACAAGCTAGCCGAAAACTTCTCCACCTTCAATGAAACCCAAAGGTTCGTTATTGTGTTTACAAGAAGCTCATAAATGGTCTGTATCCTGAGCCTGATTAATCAATCCACATCCCCTATGCTATTTCCTGAAGATGAATTCTAATACAATGCTTAATGTTTACTAAAATCTGAAGGCTTGTGAGATGTGTTATTAAACTGATACACATATTGGAAATACTCGTTTTCGGTTAAAAGACGGAAAGTTACGGAAACTGGCTTTATGCCAGGGTACGTGGATTCCATTACACGGGCCGAACAGAGCAGAGACCGAAAAAGTTGTTGTAGCTGTAGTTCCCTTGACTTAAATTCGGGAGGTGTGCGGCTCGAATCTCAGACGGTTACCGGCAATTCCGACTGAAGATTTTCGTAATATTCCTCGGTCCTTCCAGGCACGGGCTGAAATACTACCTCGAAATTAGCAACGATCGCTTCTTTCCAAATCATTTCCAATTCATTATTCATCCATCATCCTTCAGTTCTAAACTACATAAAAGTTGTCCCTGCTCTTAATTAGTTAAGCACCATGCCATGAAGACTTATACGGGAGTTGAGGTATAACTCCAACATTTTTTACTTCAGCAGTACATGGAGGTGAGTGGTCAGCTACACGCCCCTGTCGCTTTATCCCCAAGGAAACAGCCCCCGGTATCCATTAAATAAGCGGCTGGGTGGGCCCCAGAACAAGTCTAGATGCTGTGGAGAAGAAAACAAATCTTACAGTGCTGGGAATCAAATCCGTAGCTCCTCAATATACCGACTGAACTGTCATGCTTTCGTCTAAACTACATAGTCTAAGCGCTGTAAGCTAAAGTACAAGTGAAACGGGGAGCATATGCTACAGATTGCACTTCCGGAAAGCTACCTTCCTTTAACCAAGGTGATAAGATGGAAAATGCCCAGGATGTGTCTCGATTTAAGTTTATTGCACTGTTTACAATGGACATCCGTTTCCGATAACAAAATGAGCAATTCAGAACATAATCAATGATATTTCAGTCACGTAACATAAACGCTCCCGCGGGACGCACATAAATACAATATACCAGCCGTTTTCTTGCAGGAGAAGCCGGGATAGCGAGTGGTCTTTTCACTTAACCTCGTCTTTCAGACATGCTCTGCGCCCCATCCAGACTCCTGTCCAATGGATACCGGGGGCCTTTTCCCCGGCACGGAGCTGACCACTCAAATGTAACTAGTGTCGAGGTCTATATATCCAATCCCCCATACGTCTTCGTGATGTAATTAAGCATATGGGCAGCTTTACAGGGAAGTGAACCCGTGAAGTTTCTTTCTGGATGTTCTTTTCACTTAAAGAAGTTCAGGTAACGTCATTAATAACGCAATAGTTGGACGCAACAATAGAAGAACTGTGTTTTCATGAGGTCCGTGGCGAGATATTATAAGCAAGGGACAAAATCAGTTCAGTTTAGAGAGTTCTGCACGGGTGCCTGTGAAGATAGGACCTGAGCGCGTGAAACTGAAGCATCTCCACTCTTAGAAGCCGTTGCCAGGGAACGGCTGGAAAAGGCTCAGCGGGTGTGTTGGTGATTTGTGAATTGTGGAGATTAGCGGTGGCGCTGTAAGTGCTTGTCTTTCCAAGTCGTGTGTACAAGTGGTCAATAAATCTAATATCCAATTTAAACCCTGTCTGTAGTCACACACATACGGCATAGTGCATTCTTATTCAGTATAATCTTCATTATCATTTACTTACTTATTCATGGAGCTGAGCCCTTCTTGAGGATCCGCAAATTCTGCAGCTACTCAAGAATTTCCCAGCATTTTATGGAACCAGAAGGTTCATTACCGTGTTCACAAGAGCCCTCCATTGGTTCCTACACTGAGCCAGATCAATCCGATCCACATCCTCCCATCCTATGTCTCTAAGATCCATTTTAATATTGTTCAACCACCTATGTCTTGGTCTTCCTATTGGATCCTTCCTTCTGGCTTTCCCAGCAATACCCTATATTCATTCCTCTTCTCCCCCATTCGTGCTACATGCCCTGCCCATCTCATCCTTTTTTGACTTGATCACTCTAATTATTATTCTATTATCATTTACTTTAAGAAAATGTAATAAATATTATTGCAAATATTATGATTTCTATGTTGATGGAATGAAATTACATGATTTGTCACTGAATATTTATAACAGCCCAAGTCAGAATCTAAGTCACTAATGTTAAGAATGTAGGATAACACTTGGAAGCGAGGTAGCTGCGAGGCAGACTGATAGAAGAGAACCTGTGATCATTCTTTCATTGACTCGACTTCTGTGTACTTTTAGGAATGCATTCAGAAAATATTCCATTGTCTTACCTGGAACCCTACACATAATGTTTATGGACATTGGAAATGTCCAACAAAACTGTGACATAGCTAAATGCCACAAACCATTAGATGATCAGTGGAACAGCAGCGGGTGAATTCAGTAAACAAGAAGGGGAAATAATCCGTAGTGAAATGAACACAAGCGCCACGCCTGTTCTTTGCACGTTCCCACCATAAATTCACATTCGAGGTTACCTACTAATTCATTAAGTTAAAAATTGTTGAAGTTACTTTGGTTAATAATGTTAGTATGAATATTTTCGTCACTATTATTCCTACTGTTAATAAGGTATATGTTATTACTGGTTAGCATAATTACTACTGGTTGCTACAGTTCAGTAATGGCGTTCGTTTCTCTCCCACTTCAGAAGTTCGTGTGTTCACCACACAGTTATTTCCTATTGTATGAAACTGAAGAGGTCTTCAAAGGCGTAAAGTGAGGTATCAAATTTCATCAAAATTAATCAAACGATTCTTAAATTAAAATATAAGTATGGACACCGCCTCTGTGGTCGAGTGGTCAGAGTTCCTGGCTACAGATCCAGAGGTCCGGGTTCGATTCCCGGCGCTACCAGATTTGCTGAGCAGTAGTGGGTCTGGAACGGGGAGGATAACTGAATAGCTATTTCAAGGAAACACCGGCTCCGGTCTAGAAAAACGAAATTAACGGCAGTGGGGATTCGTCACGCTGACCACGCGACACCCTCTACCCGCAAAAGTTGGCATTAACTTCGCCGACAAAGGGCGGTCGCTCGGTCAGTATAGCTCGCTTGCGGACTAAAACCACGGAGTTTGTTTGTATGGACGGTGAGATGATACTGAATGCAGACCATGTAAGAATATGGATTTAGGAGGGTGTCGTGTTCTGTTTCATGGCAAGACTGGAGAAGAGGGGACCATAAACTTGAACTTAGCAGCCCTTTCCTAAGATTCATGATATCAAAACTGTGGATCTCCTACCTTTCATCTTCCTGTTCTTCGCCTCGACGTTAAGCAACGCTATGAGGACGACGCTGACGACTGCAACTCCAGTGAAGAGAAGTACCACTTGACCTGGCGTCTCGAAGCGGGTCATGGCGAGTATACTTGTTATGCCCTCTAGCAGCACATAACACTCACCACTTCACGTTAAAGTACAAACTATGAATTTATCTCTGTAGACGCCACTGTCCACTAATGCTGTATACAAGAGTACGTCTTGTCCTTGTCATTCACTTCATATTCAAGTCACCAGATGTCGGTCCTGTTCTTGTTAAGCTCTTCAAATATGGTATTTAACTCAGATTCAGAGGCAAATAGTTCCTCCTCGGCGAAAAATGTTCAAGGTTTTCACTTTCATAAACTCGCCCTCAAAGACCAGCCTGCAATGTAACAAAACAACGTTTGCTTAAACATTATATTCGGCAGAAATAATCAGAACGGGAGGTACACTTATCTCCAAGGGCCCATATTACAATATGTGAGATTTCAGTTTCTCCTGGTGGTATCAAGTTTACCGAAAATTGGTTCCCCTGCAGAGACAGTGTCCGGACCTACTCTCGGGTCCAGCCAACCTCCTATCCAATGGGTACGGGGTGGATGCTATTTATTGGCAGTAAAACGTCCGGGGCGCGAAGCTGATCACTCACCTCCATATAATACCGAGGTGAAAAACGCCTGGAGTTATACTGCCACTTCTCCATACATATTCATGGCGTAGTGCTTAAGAGCAATTGGATTACACCCCTTTCATGTTGTTCTTACATGGCATTGTACATGTTAGTGGTTAGACACGAGATTTGAGCTCAATACTGATTTTATTGAAAGCTTATTATGCGTTAACTACAAACAGCTAGAGGCATTTCACTAACCTACAAACTCTACAAATAACTAAAGCGCACCCCAAGTTTTCTCAGACTGCTATTTCTTCACTAATCGTTGCTCGGCAGCGGCTTCTAAGAGCGGGGATTCCTATGTTTCCGTGCTCAACGGCTCGCGACTAGCCACCGACATACTTGTTGGCGGGTGAGAGAGAGAGAGAGAGAGAGAAAGTGGGGTACGAACTGCATAGAAAAACAACCATTTCTGGCAGCTCCCCCATTGTTGCGTGTTTATCCGTTGCCGCGGGACTGTGTCTACCGTACCGTTGCCTAGCAATGACCGTCACTTCTGGCTCATTCTTCGGCTTGCAGGAATCACGTGACAAAATATGCCTGTTTTAACCCACTGGGACAATAATCTGGAGTTCGCTTCAATCATAAATAATTCCACGGGGTCAGCGTCAATCTTGTGAAGCTACCATTCTCTGGGTTCCCCGACAAATTCCCAGCACGTTATAAAATCCTATTCGTCACTGGGATCTCCCATGTAGCGTCCTGAATATCAGTTCACACCCTCCCGTCCTTCCGCTTGAATATCGATTTTAACATTATTATTCCAGTCAAACTTAGGTCTTCAGAGAGGTCTCTTTCTTTCAGGTTTTCGAACAATACTTTGTATGAATTTCAACCCTCCCATGAGTGCTACTTACCCGGGTCACCTCATTCTCCTTGACTTCGCCATTCTAATAATGTTCGAAGAGGTGAAAATTATGAAACATCTCTTTGTATAGTTTTCTTCATCCTCCAATCACTTCCTCTAGCTTAGGTCCTGAACACATGTTCAAGAACACCCCCAGTCAATGTTATCTTAATATGAGACACCGAATTTATCACGCATCTGTTACAATCATTGGACAAAAATGCGCATGTCTGCATTTTATCAAATATTAATGGCCTTTGTTTAGGGTCAAGTTGCGACTGATTGAAGTTATGCCAGAGCAGAGCTCATCAGCCCGTATGAAATACGGTTTTATGCATATATCTACATTATTTATGGGTTCTCTACAGTCAGCACTCGACTAGGAATATGGACTGATCATGACCCGAGATTTGGTACAAATGACTTCGCAGTAAATAATTTTCCCTTGTAAAATATGAACTACAGAAATCTAATGGGAATCCTCTTTCCCGTAACTGCTTTATGATTCTTCATAATGTAGCATGTAGACCCGTTGTTAGGTAATGGCCCGTACAAACCCCACATAGGAACACGGCACGTAATAATAGAAGAGTTGTTGGAAGCGGTGTTCTCTGTGGATACGCTCCGAGGCTATATCACTCGATCAACTGAGTTCAGTTCAGTTAGTGCAATGGAGTGGAGTGAGTTGGTTGGTGAATGATTGAATTAGTTAGAGGAGTGCTGAAGTTCAGTGTTCACGAACTGTAGCTGTTAGACGCTGGTAACTGAGGCACGGGAATAGTTCATGAACCCAGAGTAAGGTGAACGTCTGCCGTCGAAGCCGTTACCAGGCAACTACTGGTGAAGATAAGCAGACTGAAAAGACTTAGTGTGTGCTGTAGTGAATTGCAGAGCGTGTGAATTGGCGATAGCACTATAGTTACATGTAGTTACGTTCTATAAGGGTTCAATACATTCAATTATTAATCAAAACCCCGTCTATAGTCACTCATACAAGTGGCAATGATAACTAGTCCAAGCCGGCTGTAGGCTTATGGCAAGTATACGCAGAAAACTCAAACATGCTCTTTACAATACAAGGAGGCTGACCGGTTTGGCGTTGCAGTAGAGTTCTAGATTTATATTCGAGAAGTAATCGGATTGAATTTCAACAGTTCTTTTGTGGTTTTCCTTAGTGCTTCCAAAAAATCCGGCATTTTATCCCTATTAGGACACGACCCGCTTCCTTCCAAATCCTTTCCAATTCAGTAATCATCCTACATACCATTAGACGCTGTATAATCTACTTACTGACAGCGTGGTAAAAAACTCACAGAAAGCATTGCGTAGGCTTTTTCAGAAATCATATGAACAAAATGGTGATATAGAAATTGAAATATTCAGGGCTATTATAATTGAAAAAATAAATCTCAAGCTAGTAGCCACTATCAATTCGGAAGAGATGTCAAACGTTTCGTAAACCTTCTGTGTCCATTAATTAATTAATTCATTCATTCATCAATAATTCTACAGTCTTTTGTTGGGCCCTGCCCTCTTCTTCAGTTTTGTAATAATTCTTTACACAGACGCTAGAATTCCTTTGACGGGGGATCAGCCCGTCGCAAGATCGGTACCTACACAAAGGACGACATAAACACAGAATAAATGCAGACAGACATCCATGCCTTAAGTATTATTCAACTATCCCAGCGTTCGAGCGAGCGAAGACAGTTCACGCCTTAGACCGCGCGGCTACTGTGACCGGCAGTGTATAAGAATAACATATAAGAATTCAGTTCGTACCTCACACGAAACAGATCCGAACCCACGATCCCGGCTTCCGAGCGAGCGAAGACAGTACATGCCTTAGACCGCTCGGCTACCGTGACCGGCAGTGTATAAGAATAATATATAAGAATTCAGTCCGTACCTCACAGGAAACAGATCCGAACCCACGATCCCGGCTTCCGAGCGAGGGAAGACAGTACATACCTTAGACCGCTCGGCTACCGTGACCGGCAGTGTATAAGAATAATATATAAGAATTCAGTCCGTACCTCACAGGAAACAGATCCGAACCCACGATCCCGGCTTCCGAGCGAGCGAAGACAGTTCACGCCTTAGACCGCGCGGCCACTGTGACCGGCTTCTGTGCCCATAACCTAATTATTTTGGTATCAATACATGCATATGTCCGTGTAGGGGTGACTATAAATGGGGATTGGATTGGTGACTCGATTCATTGACCACATATAGTTCAACTCAAGACTCGTGACTAGACTTTACAGATTACTGACATACACACAGACTAGTGTCCTCAGTCTATTAGTCTCCACCAGCCGTTTCCGGGCAACGGATTTTAACACAGGAACTATATCAGTCTCATTGAATTACGCATTCCAAATATCACACATAAAGTCTTCTCTTCACAGCCGCAATCTTGCAACTAAATGTTTCCTTCATAGCCTCCCGTACAGAACTGCCAAACAACTGACCTTGTCTCTTGCTTATAACATCTCAGCACGGACCACGCAGAAACATTCCGTTTTTAGATACTGAGTCGACCCCAGGGTCATAGTGCGGTTGGAGGGATTAGATCAATTGAAATACAATGACATCGGGAATCGAACCCTCGACATTCCGGCTTGTAGCACTGTGTCTCAACCAAATACTCTACTGCGTGCCCCTGAATTACATTTATTGTCAGAACAATAGGAATGTAGCAACTTGACCATAAAGTGGTGGCATACGGGGGGGGGCTTTTCGCAAGAGAAGGGTCACCTTTATTAACTATGGGGGGGGGGGGCGTTATCTGGCACGCACACCTGTCTGATAGATAAAGGGCTGACGTATTAATCTCCGTCTCTTTGCATCCAGACACATTATTAACAAGGTTAAATCATGTGACACGGCTCTGAGGCTCCGGGCAGGAGATACAACTTGTGTTCCAACCCGACATGACTTCCAACGGCACACATTGCATCTCTGGTTTTGGTCACACGAACGCAACTCCGTGGGGCCGAGTCCTTCTTGAGAAGCCAATAGATGCTCAGCCATTGTATAAATTCCAAATATCTTATGGAACTCGAAGGAATCATTTGGGGGCACGCGGTAGCGTAGTTGGTTGAGGCACTATGCTAGAAGCTGGAAGGTCGCGGGTTCGATTCCCGATGAGGTCATTGGATTTGTCAATTGATCTAATCCTTTATGCCGCAATACGACCCTGGGGTCGAATCAGCCTCTAAGAGAAATGAGCACCAACAATCTTGGTGGGGGTAAATGGCGGCCGGCGCGTAAGGCTGACAACCTCACTGCCATCTGTGAGCCGACTGTCTAGAAAATGTGGGAGCCTCGCCGTCTCGCAAACCTATGGGCCTCCACGACCTGTTACAGGAATAGCCTTATCTTATGGGTGCATTAAGTATTAGTGTATTCGATGATCGCTAACTTCTGACATGTGAAGCCCTATGTTCTGGTAGAAGTTTGCCCACGTCTCGGAGGAAAGTATTACCTCCATCTTTAGGATCGAAGAATAGGCTACGTCGATCAGGCAATCAGCAATCAGGGCAAACAGAGAACTGAAACAGAAACAAGAAAGGTAAAGCCGTAGCACGGATTTGGGCTTGGGTGAGACGTCTGAGGCTGAAACGTCTGTGAATTTCCACCAGGCTATCCAATATCACTCCCTGATGATAGCACTTTTCGCAGTTACCGCCAAATGAACCCAAAACTCGCATTAGTGTATCCATTTTTCATGTTCACAATTTTTGGACACGTTCAGCCAATCCCTGGCTTAACTCAGTAATGCCCTATACTCCGCTAAAATATTTTACAGGTTACGTCGCTACATAGAGTGGGCAACCTTACGGAACAAAAGGTCTGC